CCATTAACTAAGTAATAAAATACAACAGACTAATTAATCGAAGATCCCATTCCACTAATGAACTACAAGTAACACAACTAACCCCTCTTCACATCCCCTTTCACCCCTTAACAGTTAAGACAAAATGGGGGGGGGGAGGCAATCTTAATCTGACAAGCTGTTTACAAACTAACCAGATGGGTAAAGAAGTAGGCCGGTTCTCCAGCACTGACTCGATTATTGTTAGCAAACCTTGTAATGAATTGGAGGTTAGAATGCAGAAGAGGAGGGTTAGCTCGCAGAACAACCCAAATAAGGGAAGGGAAAAAGGCGTCCGCAGCGGTTTCGCCATAGTCATTTGGGTTGCCCTGACTTTGCCGATCGGAGGCCTTCGTCAAGGGTGACGATCTAGATGCTTCATCGGTCTCCAACTTAAGGGCCTTCATGATTTCATGACAGCAGTCAACGATTTGATCTAATTTAGCTTCCGTCGGCAGAACTTCGTTTTGTCTTATTAAATCTAGGAAATAAAGAAATGCAAGAATATAGCTGCGACAAAGATTTCCTACTCTGTTATTAAATTGTAATATTGAAAATATTTAAAGTACACATGCTCGTTGGTGGTGCTGTAGTCAACATGCGCGTCAACCAAGTCAGACGCCATGAAGGGTCTCGTGAGCGGACCGAGGATGTATTCACTCTTCCCAGGTAGTTATAAAAACTCCTGCAAATCTTTATTTTAAACAATAAAGGCGTACGAATGAACAATCTCCGGTACTATCAATCGATCTTCTTTAGAAAACAGATTGGCTATTCAACATTCCCATAATTATATAAAAGGAACTCAGAAAGCACATAGCGGAAGGGGTGCGACAAGAACCATTCGAAATAAATATTGAATAGAGACAACAGGAGATTTCAAACTTACCTAGTACCGGAAATGAAAAAATTCACAGCCTATCAACTAAAAGTTTAAGGAAAAAATTGACAATTTTTTGTACATCCACGAAAATTAGAAGCGCTAGAAGACTATTTGTGAATAACGAAACCGTGAAGACGTGAGCCAAACGGAATCGATTAAATTCCGATAAAATGGTAAAAGTGAGTAATTTGCTCTCAGAATTTAGAGCAATGACAAAAATTATACCAAAACTATTTCATATACAAGACCGTAGATAATACCTATGGGTTATGCATTGGATAGACAAGAGGAATATTACTAGCAAAGAGAGTGTAGGTATACCAACAAAGTTCTATTAAACCGAACCTACGTAAAATGGCGCTTTCAAGATGACGAGATTGTTGAGGAGAGTAGGGATCAATAGGGGCATCAAGATGTTTGTGAGAGATCCAATGAAATGAACGAATGCGATCTTGAAGTTTCAAGTCAATTTCTTCATCGTCCGTATTTGATGGAGTGAAAGCCCAAGGATAAATCCACACGGAAAGGAAGCGTTCGATTGAATTCAGGAGGCTTTCTTTTTGTTCAGTTGTTCCGGCCTGATAAATATTATTACCGTATACACGAAGAGCCATGGATTGGTAAAAGTCCTTGACAGTTTCAGAGAATTTATTAATATCGGAAAAGTCCTTTGACTCGAGGTCCTTCAGCATTTTGTCAATTTGTCGGCTTACATCAGCCTCAACAGTAGATCGCCAGGATTTCAGCGTCTTGTAGAAATCTGTTCGAGCCTGTAAAGCCTCCTCCGAGATGCCAGATTCAAGTTTATTGTGATTTTTCTGTATTTTGAGAATGTTTCTAATTGTTCCAGAACTCTTTCTCGCTACTTTCTTGCGTTTAGCCTCGAAATTAGCGAAAGCTCTCGAGGAAGTTTGGGATAACTCGCGAGCTTTACGTGCATACAAATCGGACTTATTTTGAGACTCTCGATAACATCTGGAACAATAATTGTTCCAGGAAGGATTTCCATAATACCCGCATTTATTTTTACAGAGAATACTAGACCCGGGGTATACCATCGAATACCGCTCCATTTCGGCGATTCAATTGTTTGCGAATTATCTGATGAGTTATAACGATTGTTATAAAAGTAGCATAAAATAGAAGTTCATATCCTAACTATTTTGTGTCTATTTTATGAGCAAGATTGCTTTTCAGTTATTTCATATTGATATTTAAGTGAAATTTTAAATGTAAAAATTATGAAAGGATATGTATTGCATCAACAATCTGAGAGAACCACATTGAATCTTGGAAAAATTAAAGTGATAGTTTAAATCACTGTTCAACTTTATGGTATATTTAGCAGTGTCTTTTCCAGAATGATTCAGGTCAATTAAAAATTTTGGATATGCTCTGTCGAAATTATTACTTTTCAATATCAAAGCACTTATTTGAATTTTAAGGTAAATTTCGTTGCATGCTCATTTCAATTTAACATAGGTTAGGCACAACTGAATGACAGAACAATTGAAATTCAAAATCCATAAACAGTGATGCCCTTTATATTCTGTCCTTTTTAATGAACTCCTTTTCTTAGTCTTACAAATTTTGAACTTTTAATAATTTATAGTGAAGCATAAAAAGTCCCTATGGAAACATGATTTTACTGATAAACACAAACGTTATCATGAGAATTTCAATATTTTTAAAAATTACTAATACATACACCTAAAGTGAACCTTTTCATGTTACCTCTGGTTAGTTTGGCACCCTCCACATATAAGTCGAAAATGAATCTGTATTGCATAGTAAAGTAGGAATGAAAGAGATGAATATTTTCGCTTGTTCGACATAAGTAGTATTGTGTTAATTAAATTATGATATGCTTGCTTCATGTGCACTATTGACCCTCAAATTGTAGTCTGCCATTTAGCAGCAAATAGTCTCACTTTCCAGCATTGTGAATTTCGAAGTTATTGATTGCCCGTCCGGTTAAATTTCATTTCTCTGATTATATTCAGAGTGCCAGTGGTATTTCCAATAAGAATCGGCTCTCTATACTTCATTACTACTATTCTGAGTTTCATTTCAATCTTGTATTTTTTGATAAAGTGCATCAAACTAAATTTCTGTGTTACCATTTAAGCATCTTTGACAAATATCACACCGTTCGTTTCAAAATATTGATTATTTCTAATTTTAGCTGGACCTTCATAGCTTTGTTGATTTTCAAAGTTCGATAAAGAAATTAACCTGCTACAACTGCCTCGCATAGTGGATTAATATTGGACACTTGCTTGTTCATCTATATCCTAATCGTCAAGGGTCAAAAATGTGTGAAATCTGTCAACTTCCGTATTATTTTACATTTAAACGCTTCCTCGCAATTACTATTGCTTTTCTTTGGTAGTAGCACCTTCCGCTTCCTCCCAACTTTGTTTCCTAAATTCTTAATCTTTACCCTTCTTAATCATTCATAATTATTCAGTGCGCATTTGTTCAACTTGACTATTGGTCTTCCTACTCAAGATAGGATGCTATTTCCCGCTAGAGTTAGCAAGAATATTAGTCATACGAGGGGGAGGGGGCATATAGACTATTTTGGCCATGCCCGTAAATTGGCTTTTTTTATTGAATTAGGGTCTTTTAAATCACAGACTTCTGTGTCGCAGGTAATAGACCTGCCATCATGAATACACCAGAGGATAAATGACTATAAGACTAGGTTCTATCTATTAGGCTAAATCAATTGTATTAATAAACTGCTGTAAGTATCTGGACTTGATTATTCAAATACCATCCAACTGGTGGTCTATGGGGTTGGGAAGAGAATTGGGAAGCGCCATGCACCAACACTAACCCGTATTAGCCCAGAACAAACTATTCTAAAATTCGTGTACTATAGCGGTGTTCGCTAGATGTGTTAAAATATCATCATTATCTACATCTGAAATAACTCTAATTTTTTAATCAACTGCAAATAACTCATTATTTAAAAAGCCGTGAGAAAATAATCATCATTTAAAATAGAAAATGTTCGATTTAGGAGAAAACATATATTTTCAAATTACAATTATCAAAAGTAATGACCGAAAGTTATAACATGATTAATTTGAATTTCCGGAATTTGCTTTACCAGACTCCCCAGATTTGTCATCATCCTCACAATCGCCATTGGGACAGCTCTCCCGCTTTGAACGCCCACGGCGGCTGCTGCCAGATGATGGCTGTGGTGGGTACCCCATATCTTGTCCATAACCATATCCATCATATCCACCAAAACCAGAGTTACCGAATGGATCCATCATATTTGGACCAGCTCCAGACATACCAGTCATCATTCCACCTCCGAAGCCACCAAAGTTAGGCTCTTGCATACCGAAGGCGTTGCCCATGCCGAAGTGGTTGCCCATTTGTCTTCCAGGGAACGTGCTTGAGGCCATCATTGGGCCGCCAACTTGTGAGCAGGCACCACCATGGCAAATGTAAGGGCAAATACCATTATTACAACCATAACCAGTAAATTGGCCATTGTGACAAACAGGTGCTTTACAGTTCTTGAAGGTTTGTTGCATGCCAGGACCTCCAACAGGACCCATACATGCAAATGGTGATGCTGAGACAAGAGCTCCCAGTAGAATAAGAAAGACAAATTTCTTCATCATTTTTCCTCCCTCTCTCTCTCTCTCTGAGGTTTAATCTAATAAATTGTTCCGTGAGGAGCGCATTTTATAGTTAGGTTATTCGATCGAAGTTACGTTGTACTGTACATAAATGCACTGATTGCAATTATTGAATTTATTGAACAAGTGAACATGAACTAACAGTTGTAGAAATCAATATATATAACGTACTCTTTCGATAATCGTTTAAGGAAGAACATAATCAGCTTACTTAAATTTTAATTTAGTGCATATTTTTGGTTTAGATAGGCCGAGTTTGGAAGTTGCGGCTCAGTCAGTGAGTAATAGACCTTCATTTTGTAATTAATAGAAATCTATCAAGAGAAGTAAATATCTAATGATTCTCTTTGAATACCAATAGAATTACTTAGTGTAAAACTGGATGGTAGGAATAATTCCAATAGACATGCCGAAAGGACTTTTAAATTAATTGGGTCCATGACGTTTATCAATCAGTAATTGCTTGTTTCTAAAGAAAAAATGGCTTTAGTCGATTGGGTATCGGGTAATTTTCGCCGTTTTTTAGATTTTCAAACATAATAATAAGTTAAGTTGATTGTGATTCTTAGGGAACTTTTCAAATACTTACAAATTAATGAGCACAAACTTCAGGCATTATCTTTCATTGCTGTTATAATTTCATTTCAGGCGCCACAACCCAAGCACTCTTGAGGGAGACTGGCATACTGTTGTTCTGTTATTAACTATCTTATTGATTACTTATTTGTGGAATTAGATTCTTGCTAAACATGAGAGATATGTTGCTTGTGAAATGTTTTACTTAGAATTGAAAGATCAAACTATAATAATTTACCATTTTTGAAGTAGATTAACAAGGTTCGTTCGCATAGTTCTAATAGAAAATTAATAATGCTCCTTAAATAAATGAGAATATTTCGAATGATTGTTTTGTCATGAATGAATAATTGCATTCATTGGATTCTTCTAACGTACTTACAATAACTGCTAGCGGAGGATTTCCCAAACGAGTTTGGCTTCATTTAAACGTAGCTTGATCTCTTAATTAAGAAGACAGTAAGAATAAGCATAAATCAAATCAAAATCAGCCTTGCAGTTAGAAAGTTAATTCAGCTAACCGCTTAGATATTTATCTATAAAGATTAAATCTTCCAAACAGCAATAATAGACAGAAGTATAGTTTAAGCGTATCCAAAATCAGCTATATCTAAATTGACCTGATGAGTTCTAGCTTTATTCATTAAAATTAACCGTTATTCCTTTAAATGTTTACTTCGTATTTCTTTTGATAGTAATACGCTTCACATTGTAAAAATACTTCCAAATTAAAACCAATGAGACGGAATATGCAATTGCGCTATTCTGGACGCCATTTTAGATCAAGTACTTGTGTCGATTTCAATGTCAGTGTTGAAAAAAATATTTCTATGTTTCACAGATCTTTGCGGTTTTAAATGACCTATTAGTGAACATATTTCTGATAAAACTGGAAAATATCCTAGACATAGATAAAAATGAAATATTAAAAATGAAGACATTGTCGCTAATATTCAAGGTTTTATAAACTAGAAATATGGCAATTAACTGAGAAGATAAGATTGTCTTTGAAGCAATGAAATATAATTCGTTTACTGATGTTGTTTTATAAAAATAAAGAAAAGTAAATAATCAACCAAATTATTTAGTCAAGAATTATAGAAACTAATAAGAATGATAAAAGTTGGTATGCTGAATTTGATCATAGGGCAGGGAAGATGCGGATATGAGCAAATAATGTATTACCAAAAATAATTTTTGACTTAATTGTGCAAAACTTGTAAAATATAAATATCTAACAATCTTCTAAGCATAACTGAAAGAAATGCCAAGTAGCAATATGCTTGATCAATGAAGTTGTCTCAATGGATACCTTACATCGTTAACTGAGGTAACATGAACAACAGTTAAAATAAAAGCCTGGAGATAAGGAAAGCTTAATTAGCGAAAAAACTCTTGCACAGAATCCTTTGAAGATTTAACCAAGTGTTTATGTGTTTTCACAATAATTATCCAAACAGATGCCAACGCATCGATAACTAAAATTCACTTACATCTAACAATGAAATTTACTGTCGGTAAACTTAGCATATTCATAAATTACAATGACATTTTGAAAGACTCTACACTGAGCCAGGGACATGAATGAATTAACTTATGCCATTCAGAAAATATTAGAGTATTATAGAACACATGCTTAAGGAAAAAAATATACTTATCTTTACATACAGTTAGTGTTTTCCGAATTCGCCGACACTATATTTGACCATATGAGTACTAATTTATATTTAAGAAAGAAAATATATTTTCAAAAGCTTTCGGATAAAGAAATCTGTACTTCTTCAAATCAGTGATCTTGCCATTCTTCATGCAGACAGAGTGTTTCAAAATTAAAATACACTAATAGTTTCAAATACCGTATATTACAATGCAAATTAAAGAATTTAAGTTAAAATAACAAAGGTTATATTAGATATAAAATCAATTTTTACTTTTTGCATCATTACTATCATTATATTTACTAACTATACTTATAAAATTTAATGAATCATATGATTAAAAACAACATGTTGTTAGAAAAAGTAATAATTTAGTTTCATATTACTTAGTCCGACGTCTGTTCAATTTTTAATCGATTCATCACCTTGGCGTCTTTATTGAAAGAATGGCCGCAGGGGGCGTGCACATGCTTCGTTTTACGAGAAAATCAGCGAGTATAAGCAGGGTTTCCCCCGTGTTTATCAAGCAAAATAAGTAAGAAGCTTTATGATTTTGACCGTTTCTAGCCTTCTTATCTACGCATCTGATAAGATAATTTATGCTCATGATATCTTAACTGGGAAGGATGTATATAAAATTTCTTCACACGGAGATGTCATCACAAAATTATGGATAGAAGACAATAAAGTAGAAACTCATATTTTAATTTTACATCTTCTAGTTATTTTCTTGCGGATTAGATACTAAGATAATCGTTTCGGATATCCAAACTGGTCGTTGTTTATCTGTATGTCAGTATTTTTTAATTGTATTATTCTCAGAGACATTCCCTGAAATATCCCATTGCCTGTCTTGTCAATAACTCATCAACGTATGTGGCAACATTAGAAGGAAAGGACAAAAATTTCATTACGGTTTTTAAATCATCCTTTGATCAAGGGAACGTCATTTTCCCTAATTTTGAGTCGATTACTGCTTATGACGTAAACGTAAGTATGAACTAAATTTTACTTACTCAGTTAGAACCATTTTGTTGCTGCAATTACGAACACCAAACTATACTTGCACTGGTTTAAATACAACGACTACACCTGGTAAGTATTTCATTTACTTACTTGACCTTGTGACTAGTTATACCCTTCCTATTGGGGAAAAGTCCCAACTGAACCGACTCAAGCGTTTGACATGTGTAGCTTGTCATCCAACGGAGCCGATTGTTGCCACAGGTAATGCTAAAGGTGAGATAATGATGTGGTGGAACTTGGTCCGCATATCATCACATTCTCATGAGAGAGTGGAAGAAGATGACAGTGATGTGGAAGATAGTTTAACTGATACCGTGGGTGATAAGGAAGATATTGGTAATTACCATGCTATGAAGCACATACCCAATGATGACTTTCGTCTCCTCCATCCCAAACGTGTGAAACGTTCAGTAATGCACTGGCATTGCTTTTCCATGACTGCGCTCACATTTACCCGTGAAGGTAAGTTGCTTCTCTGTTGGTCTATACCGTATGCAAATGGATAATGCTCAATTTCTCCGGTTTAGGAAAGCATCTCTATAGCGGTGGTCTAGAGGGTGTATTGGTAAAATGGGACTTGACTGATTCTTTTGGAGAGGTGAAGAATCGTCGATTTCTTTCCATGCTGAATTCTCCGGTGCAATCTATTTGTGCTCCAAGTGGAGTAGCTGGGGACTGTGTTGTCGTCTGCTTGGAGAGGAATAGTAAGTTAATCTTAAGTTTAGCGCTTTATTTTCTTTAAATCTTCCTAATCAACGAGCTCATATTATCCCTACCATCTAGGCTTCTTTGTGATGAATGGAGCCATGCAGATACTTTATAAACACACGAGTCTCGATCAAACACCAAGCCGTTGGCGATGGGCTGCCAAAAAAGTCTCGAATTCAACGATTGCTCTTGCACTTGCTAGTCCTGAAAAGATTGATGGTGATAATATCTCTAACTCTGCATCATCCTTTCCCATTCTTTTGCCTGGAGCTCTAGGCTGTCTGCAAATTGTCAATGCTGTCAATGCTAAAATCATCAACACGGTCGGTTTTTTGTTTTTGTGCATAACTTCTGGCTCGAGTCTTGAATTGCTTTTTATTACGTTATGTTAATTTCACATTACTTATATTTGAAAGATGCGATAAATTGCGTGGAGTCTTCTTAAAAATCTCTACTATAAAAGCTATTTGCTGATTTTCTTTTATTATACTGACTTTGGTAACATCATTTTCATTTTGCTTTTTTAGATGGAAATGAATCAACGCAATTACGTTTTATGTGACAATGTGCCAGTCCCGCTCATATCTGAGGCCCTCTTGGTTGACTCTTGGTCTGATGGTCAATGGCTAGTCACTTATTCACAACTTCAGCTGCCTAAAATGAACGCGAAGCGTCAATATCTCGCTGGTTGCCAACTTGACAACCAGGCACAAATTGTCTGGTGGCGTCGAAATTCAACAACCACAGGGTTAAATTTGTTGAGCCTTTAATTTCGTACATTTTAGGCTTAATAGCAGTTTCTAAATGGAATAACTCTTTTGTAGATTTACCTATGAGGCGATATATGGTGAATCGATTGCTTATCTCAAGTCTCAAGCCACTGATTTAAAATTTACTTGTCATCCAGAAAGCCAACATTGTTTCCAGACGCTGCTCATTCTCCGTGACCAAAGAGTAATTACTTGGCAGTATAATCCTGCCTCAGAAGTTCAACAAAATCAGAGACCTTGGAGGAAGGTTGGTTGCTTTTCTCTGGATCCCAACTTAATATTCTACTCTATGCTGGATGACAGTAGTAAGGAAAAGGCGGTTTTATCCTCGGCTTTACCAAACCCGAAGGTGGCTATATTGAAAGCTAAAGTGGAGTTGGAGGAAAAAACGGTTCTTCATAGAAGTCGAGAGGAAGCGATCGATGCATTAAAGGAAGAAGGACCTAAATCTATCCTTATCTGCGCTTCAAGATTAACGCTTAGGACTTTCGCGTGGATTCGCTGGATTTCTGGTGATTTAATTATTATAATAAAGCTATATTTAATTTTATTAAGTAGTGCTAATTTATTTACAATTGGCCTTGTTTTCCCGCCAGCTCATTTCTTGCTTTGTATTTAAGCAATGTTTAAGTTCTAGTTTACCTAATTATTCGATTAACCTTTAGGTCCCACACTAAAATAATAAATAATAACCTAGTTTTATTAACTACCCTTATTCCATTTATTGTTAATTCGATTTTCATGAAGTTTTAACATTCCCGATTTCGTCCGCCAAACCATTAATTCATTCTATTCAGTGTATGGGTCGGTCCACTGAGTGCAAATACCCAGGTATTAGTCACTTACAAACTCTCTACCATTTAAGGTGAGATTCTTTTCCGGATTCTTTTGAATATTACCACATCCAATACGTAATAAGGCAAGCTTGAGACATTTTTCATTAGAGGACTCAGTATGGCATGCATTAAGTGGAATTAGCTTTATTTTACTAAATTCGAACATCCAAGAACAAGGCATATCAAACACGCAGCTCTCGATTTTGGACATAGCAACATAAACTCTTCACGTTCAGTTAGCATGCAGACCCACAAGTGCCCATGTCACAAAATTATTTTTTGATGAACTTTCTATAGTGTAGCCAACTAATAAGATCTTTGTTTCCACTCAATAATTCTACACTATTTTGACTCAAATCTATCAATTTCAGGAAATATGACAATGGAAGATATGTTACCTCTGCATAACTTAGATCTCTCAACCTGGTTTAAATTGCCAAAAGAAAAGGACGTTGAAAAGAGAATTATCCAACTCGCGGTCATTGATCGTACTGCTAGCATCTGTGTGGCGCTTATTCGCCCTCTCAAACGTGAAACTGCCTTTGGCGGTCTTTCTATCATTCACATTTCCCCTATCGATGGGAGCCTTTCTTACAAGTCGGGTATTTTCAATATTAAACCTACCGGCGCTCTGGCTGTACATCCTTCACGGCCTATTATTGCGGTGGGACTCATGAACGGTTCTTGTAAGTTAAAATCTTGTAGAATTGTCTGAACCTCAGGTATAGAAGTCTAATGATCACCAATTCTTCCATTTCTAGGTGCCATTTACGACGAAAGTCTCCAGTCCCTAGCTACATTTATTCAGACACCCCCATTGCCTTTCTGTGACCGCCAGCGTAGTGTTGCCAAGAAGGAGAAAAACACGCCTTTTTCTCTACCTAACGCTCTTGTTTTTTTACCCGCTACTCAATCTACTTCAGTCCCTCCTCTTGCGGTGATTTTCACCACTCTAAGGGGTCGTGAAAGTGGGAGAAAGGATCTGGCTGTCTTCGGTTTACCTGCTGATGCTTCAGTTGCTGAGGCTCCCAAGAAGGTAAATATGTTTACAGCTACAGAATGTATCGTGATTTTTGACATGACATTCAGATTTGATATTTAGAAAATCGGGTCCATAACGTCTGTAATTTCTTCGAGTTCTTCTTAAATGGACTATTGTAATTTAATCTATGTGAATTGAGGGGGTTGCTTAGACTTAGGGCTTTTGCCTACTATTACGAATTTCTAGTTTTCCTGTACTTGTTGAATTTTAAACGTCAAACCACGTTGGCAATTTTTTTACGCTGAACATCTAAGGGGAGCATCTTGTTCAAAACATCTCTGAACTTATTTTTTCTATTTTTTTTGACCACTGTACTAGAATTTGAATCTGAAGTAGCTCATTCAAAGTCTGAGCAGTTATTTCAAGGATTTACTAATATTTCATTTTTGTTTTTACTTATTTTTGCTTTTTAATAGGGTCAAGCGGAGAAAATATCTGCACCATCAGAACAATTATCGTCAGGTCTTCTTGCAAAGGTAGCGAGAATTGATGAGGAGGAAGGTGAGACGGGAATGGATCAACTTCTGTTGCCTGTTCACCGAAGAAAGCGCCGTTTGGACGCGGATGACGAGTTACTTCGCACTCTGCGTCAAGTCAGCCAATATCCATTGGACGCGGCAC